ATGCATCTTGTTACTTTATCTTTTGTGCATACTGTGAGGCTGTGTTGCTTTGTTTGCCGTTTGAAACGTTTCTACTTTTCTGTTTAGATTATAGAGTTTACTTACTGTAAGTAATTAAACTGTGCTGGAAGTTCTGTAAATGAAATATGATATAATAAAACTAACTGTATACTTCATGACGCACATTTTAAGTACTCAGTACTCACCTACTTACCATTATTTTTCACACATATCTACCGTATTTCTAAAATTCCGTATAAAATTGAATTGACCCGGTTTTGTCTAGGACAGTATATTTTATAAAATATTAATATTAAAATTACATAAGTAGGGATAACATTGTGTTAAATAAAAGTAACCAACTTAAACAAAACGATTAATAAGTAGCAGGGTAATGAAGCGAAATCAGAAGCTACCTATTGATCGAAGATTACCTACCCTAAAATGTAGACTCATTCGTTTATTCACTTTACACTTGAAATAATCGGTAGGGAACACGAAATGCTTTATAATATCCGACATTTGTGCCAACAATCGGACTGTAATGCGCGGCTTTTGTAGAATAACAAAAGTTAACCTGTCGGCTCGTCCGGCGGCAGAATGGAATCATTTTAGGGTTGGAGGGAAGCAATGACAAGCCGGGGCCCGCAATGCACTCAATAAAACCAGCACGTCACTGCGTCTACCAAACAAAACTACATGCAAATTACGACTCTATGCCCTTGCTTTCATGGCCGATTTGCAATTTTTATTTAAGCTTTGCTATGGCTTGTTTGAACAAAACCCGCCATGTGCTTCCCGTGCCGCATGGCGCGCTGACAGCACCATGCGATCATTATGCTCGCAGACATTGACTTACTGATTTATTTCAATAGATTTCAATGTCGGCCAAGTGCCGTGTTAAAACTTTAATTAATTAAGTGCAATGACACCAAACAATAGCACGCCTGCGAGCGTTCTGAAATAGGTACAAGAATAATAATCTACTGCTAATTCTGCGGATTGAAATTATAAAGAGGTGATCAATATTGTCCACCTGTTTGACAATATTCTATAATTCATGTAATAACCGTTATCTTGTTAAGTAACAACCCACTCATAATATCTGTTCAAAGTACTCAATATAATTCCAGTAATATGAATAGTAAAACTTCAATTCGGCCATAAAGTCGCAAATCGAGCGATTAAACGATCTAATAGCTAATACCATTAAGTGATAAATGCAACGGGCCGCGTATGAATAATTCCACTGGATGGATACAATGTACGGCTTTCGCTAAACGGCTCCATATTTTCAAAATCCCCATGGAACAATAATATTCAATGAGCGGCGCGAAATAGACGTATCGTTTTGTCACTGGTGTGAGGGAGATGGGGATGGCGAGGGACACTGGATGGCAAATCCTGGAGATTAGCACGACGAGAGTGACATGTGGCCTCCCGGCACTTAGCACTCCCTCCCCGCGCCTGTGTGTACTACACCTATGATACATTGCGCACTAAATCCGGACCCATAAATATTTATTGCAAACATTACGCAAAGTTAATCGAAGACAATTTTATGCACCACACGTTAACCAACAATGTTTTGGTTTAAATAGATCTATTTGAAAAAAATACACAGCTTTTCATATACTTACTCATCTAGATGTATTACATTTTAGTATAATTTAGTTCTTGCATAATTTTGAATTATTCTGACTATTCCGTAGCACCGATACAGCTATCTTCAGATGCAATTTACATACGTTGACTAATTGACTTGTTTTTTTTTCAAATCTCTCTTATCTAAAGAAAACTAACATTTTTACGTAGCATTGATTGAAGGAAATCGGTGTTGAATTACAGTAAAAGCATTATTTCGGCTCAGTGAGATAGTTAATTCAGCAATAAAAAATATACGGCAAAATACAAATGGCGCACACAAAGTGCAATACAATGATACACTTGTTTGTTGTTGTTTAGAATATCACACAAAAAGATTATACAGCTTAAATGCGGGTAATTTGCAAATGGATGTAGAGGTATAACATGTATTGAAATCGTCGTCAATGTAACATTTGTCATTGACGTATACTTACAAAGGGGTGGACACAATAGGTGCTTTGGAGGCTAGTGTCCACTTGTGTGAGATCTGTGATATGGTCTAAGGTCGCTGCGGGTCACTTCGACCCGATGTGGGTCTATAGTGCCCGCCGAAGCGGAACGCCTAACGCCAATGACGCCATATGCGCGGCGCATTATGGCGCTCCACACCCCTTCAAGATTGATGACAATTCTCTCTTTGCTGTATTCAAACGTATTAGGGCATGTAAATGTTATGCGATCACTTAGTGTAATAGCTTGCGAAATTCTTTTCAAATGTTTTACCGAGTTTAATACTATTATTTTTATATTTCTGCCTATAGGTGCCGATATTGTGAAACTTAGTTACTTAAGTAATGTGTAATAATATACAGTAAAATATCTACTACTTAGATTAAAAGGAAAAATTACAGTCCAAAGACTGTTCTATAAAGTTCTATAAATAAAATAAAAAACAATGCATTTTACGTAAAATGTCGTGAGTTCGCGAGTTCATCCGTTAGGTCTACCGCCTGTGCTCCACAAAGGCTCATTAAATAATTCTCACTGACTTAATCACAAAAGTGGAGATCGTTGTCGGGTCATCGAACCCCTATTTGGTTTCACTTCACTTCATTAGCTTACTTCCGAGCGAATTGTCTCGTCCACATGTAAAATATTCAAGCTAAACGTTTTTGTAAACAAATGTACTGTAAACAAAATTAAATAAGTAAGTAGGTAGATAATGTATAATAACTTAAGTAACGACTAATTGCTTGTTGTATTTTTCTTTAAGTAATGGACTATATGACGTCAATTCATTACAAAACGAAAGTCAATGCCAACCCCCATCTCAATCTAGAAAATGTTTGCAAAAATTATGAGAACACACCATTGTTCTAGTTTTTTATATAGGATATTAGAATAAATTGAAGTAAATGAATAAAGAATACTTAATGAGAATATTATTTACTTAAACTTTTAAACTCATTAAAATTTTGAAAAATAAAGGCACGAGTAAGTTCTTATCAACTTGATAGTTTGATACATGTGTTTTATTATTATTAGTGCAATTATCATAGTACGTTATTACCCACACACAAGATTTACCTACACACTTCGTTTAAATCCCCCCAAGTACATACATGCAGTGTATCTAAACAAGAAGTCACTAAAAGTATTTTCCTTTCTCACAACGGACGATAAAAACAGTGAGAGCATGTCATTCGTTTTGTAGGGTCGTTTTCACCCTTGTTATACCACCAAAACACTTGGCACAAAAAGTGTAATGGAGTTCAGTAATGACCCCCTCCCACAGGAGTACAAACAAACTGGTACCCGCTGTGATGCTGCCGTTGTTTCTACTTGTTTCGTGTCAATACACACTCACTTACCACCATTCAGACGTCACCTTCTTAACACGAATTAAGGTCTTAATTTGAACCAAGTAGTTAATTGACAAATCCAGATAGAGTAAAAAATACATTGTGTTTTATTAATAATATCTAAATGTTTATTTATCAAAAATATTATTGGTTTAGATGTACAAAATGAAACCAAAAAGTGCAAGTTTCATACAGTACTGTGTTAAAGTCATGCTACAAAAATGCGGTAGAAAAATCTTGTAGCAGATAAAGACACTGTCTTTGGTATGGGTCACATACGAATCAAATGTAACACTAATGCGAGCCGTGGGGTCGGCCAGACCCTCTCGATTCAATTATCGCGCGGGGCTTACATTCTATTGTCGGGTGAAAACGATACTTGTGAGAGATTGCTTTATTGTTTTTTCTCGTGATTAAAAAGTATAGACACGTGCCCCCATTTTGACAAGGACGCTGGTTGACTTACGGGTATGTTTTCAAAGAATATTTCGATCATACTGGTAAACAATTTACAGCAAAGCTATTTTTGTAACTAATGTAATTAAGTGAAACTCATATTTTACCCTTCTAGGCACTTGTCTAGACATCAAGTTATATTTAGTACCTAATAAAATTAATACGATCCACTTACAATAATTCTAAGAAACATATCATAGTAACCCTTACTTGTAAGCCAGAAGAAGTGAAAAGGGGAGTTCATTATATGTTTACTCAGCCCATAAATATATTTGGGTTTCTTTTATCTAATAAAATAGTGAACAGGTGCGTGCTGGGTGTGCGTGTTGCGAATGTATCCGAACGTGGCGCGGGAAACTGATTGTTCTCCAAATTCAATTACAACTCCACCGCAAGCCGACTTCTCGGCTTTGATTCTGCAGTAAACTACACTAAATCAACGTGGATTCTACCCGTGTGAAAGTTCATTGTTTTTACGTAAAACCACACACATTTTTCTTTCACTTCTAATATGGAGGAACGTTGTGGAAAATGTTTCCCTACAACAGTACAATTAGGTTGATACTTTGATACATTTTTATATGTGTTTATGCGGCTACTTACTTTCGTGTGAGGAATATGTTTGCGGTTTTTATGAGCAGCGATAATCAAGATTTATGTTAACGCTTAAATTCAATTACCTTGTCAGTCCATTAGGTACGGTGGACATGTTTTTTCATTTAACTTAAGCTTATGATATCGAATTTATTTTTTCATTGACATCGTTTAATTAGTCATTAGTCCATTGCAGGAGCATTTTAGAATTAGAGTAATTAAACAATAAAAAATGGAATGGTTATTATAGGTGCTTAATTAAACAATACAAAATGGCATAATGTTGGACCACACTTTAGAATAGAGCAGAGCAGTTGAAGAAAGTAGGTGAAATAAATTTAATTAATTTCAGTTTAAATCAAATGGTTAGAGTCAGCTCTGAGGTCAGCCTCAAACTCTATTTGGGAAGCGAAAATATACAATTTAAGGAATTATATTACTGTTCTTAAACCCAGTGTTTTAAATTAATTTCTGTTACTCATGGATTTTTTTGTCCTAAAGGTCTTATAGATAAAAGGAGGGGTACGTATGTAGACTGAGTACTTAGTAGACAGTAGACAGTTAGACACATTTAAATTAATCACAGTAAATCGCTTTGTCTACCGAAGTCTCAATTAAAAGCAATATTTTAAAAGAAAAATTAGATTTAGGTGCCTCTAGTACTAATACCTATGTAGGTATATATATATTTTTTCTGTCTAGATAATAAATAAGCAGCCGTATTATGATCGTATTTCTTAAATATTCACCTATCGAAATATACAAATATAAGTAGAAAGAAAGTTTTATTGAGAACAGTGGCGAAACGGTAACCGAAACACTACAAAAGTAAAGAAAGACACTTCATTACCTTTAAAAGATGAGATAAGTAAATATGAAAAATGGAAAAGTTCTGAAGTAGAAACAAGAAAATAGGAAAGAAGTATTCTTATCCAGGCGCAGTAACAACGATCCAATGACGTTTGGCAATTAAGTAATGGATGGTGTCTATTGTGGCGATCGATAGTACACACAGCCACATATCAATCTATACAAAACCAGTTTATCCTGGTGTCGCGTCGCATCATCTTTCCGCACATTTAACGTTCAGTTTATACTGGTTATGTAAAGCTCGATGTGTAGCCGTGTGTACATATGAATGTAACGCGTGTTACCCCGTGGAAATATGAGGGCCTTGTTGACACGATATTGTCCGGTGCAGCACGTCAACCTGCCCTTTTAATCGAATTTATTTATTAGATTTACAACTCTATCGTATAGGTATAATGTTGAAAATCCAATGACAGATACACACATTATTGGAGTAGATTTATGTGCTGGTAGTACAAAATACTCTGTAGAACTGTTAGTGTTAGATATCTAAAATTGTTCCTATATTTTAATCTGTAGAGCCGTTGGAACGTGTTTATATGAAGCTGAAGATTTACCATCAAAGATTTAGAGATAGGAACGTTTTGGTTGTATTAAAGTTTTAATTTTTGACAAACGCTTTTTTTGTTTTTTTTTATATTTTTTGATAAATATAAATACGGCTAACGGCAATAATGTATAAATACAGCTTACACATCATACATATATTATTAATAACTATAATACCGCTTAAGTACAAGCTTACCGCTCAAATTTTTGTTTGAATACCCTGACTTTAATCATTGTTTAAAATAGACGTAGATGAATAGGGAAACATGATAATAAAGAATATGTCTAAGATTACGATTTTCACATCCAAATTTTGCTTCATTATTTTTTTCTACTGTTGCATATAAATTGGTCTGACACCAGTTTCAGAGACATGCCAATTGGAATACCACGAGGGGAGACTATTTGCTTCCATTACACCAAGTGCCAATCATACCTTCTTAGTACGACTCCGTCTTTCTGTCTGTCTGTCTATACTGACATATGTAGCAATCAACGAGTACTTACATCGTAAAAAAAACAAAATATATGTTCATATTCATTTTTAAAAGGAAAAATAGACCGGGGTTTGGGTTTGTATTACATTATATGGAGGATAAATAGTGGGAAATATTGTACACTTTTTGTGCATAAATACCGTTTAAACTCAAGAATGTTTGCATAATGTAAATTCAAATTAAGCTATAATTCTTCTAAAATAAGCAAACATTGCATTTCATTAATTCAGCAATTATGCATTATCAACCTAGGTTTTGTAATAATTAATTAGGTAATTGAATCTTCAACAAAAAGCGTACTCCTTTTGATTAAGAGGCAGACAATGCTCTTGTAACACCTTTGGTGTTGCGGGTGTCCATTGCAGTGTCCAGCCATGCCATCAGGTACGTAGACGACAGATACCCCCAAAAAATGAATTGCTGCGTTGAATTTCTTTTGTCATTTTTCGTTATTTAAAACATTTAAATACTTAAAAGTATTTCGCTTTTGCATAGGTATTATGTCCTTGAAATATGCGCCAGTTGTTATTGAATGAATTGTTAAACTGATTCATTCTAATTGCAAAATTAGGTTATATAACTATTATAACAATATATTATTATTTTATTACGATCAAGTGTTTAACAAAGAATAACACAGATCTAGGAAATACAGTTTCAAACAGCTACCATAATTAGATACGTGCCCAATGATCGACCGTTGCGATTTCCTTATTAGCCGAACATGCCTAAATTTTGCAAAAAATATATTAAGTAGTATAGACATTATATACAGATAATAATGTTACTATGATACCTAGAAGTTTCTACATAGATTTAAGGAATGATGTTAAAACGCAAATGGCCAGTATCACAAATTGAAAATTTAAAAGCGGTGGAACCATAGATGTTTTATTAATATGATGGAACCTATACCGTTATTTTATAGTGGTGCGAATTGATTTCACGCAGTACACGAAGATGTCCGATGGCATCCTTTATTGCTAATTCTTATAAATGTTTGAATGGCTTCTGCAATTTGTGGCTAGTTCGATAACGATGTTAATAGGGTCTTCAGTCACCCCAGATACATATATTATATCTGTGTATGTTCCTATTTTTATCTGTGTGTGACTGCCTTGTTAGCCGAGTAGTCGCAAGTGCGACTGCCGGGCAAAGGGTCTCAGGTGCGATTCCCGGATCAGGCAACTTAATCAGTATTAAGTTGCCTGACCCGGGAATCGCGGTTTAAAAAATTCTAGTAGTAGCACGGAATTTGGAATTGTGCCCGGTATATGGCAATAGGTTCACCCCCTATTACATGGGACTCTTAACAAAAATAGTAAAAAGTGGGTTTCATTAAGTGTCGTAAGTGCACATCTGCTTACCCCTTCAGGGATAAAAAGGTGTGATGTTATGCTATGTTATGTGTTTTTATAGTAGTTATGTAATAATTATCTTCGCCATTGAAGACGACTTTGTACCTCTTCCATGTTGTATTTAGTACTTGTCTATTTATAGTGCTAATACCAAATTAATTATCATTCTTAGGTAGGATTTTGGTGACGTAACAGTTAATATATTTACTAGAATTTAGTGTTACATCCACCTATGTCGGTACGAAACTTATTAATAAATTCAGTATTTTCAAGGTCGTAATGAAAAAGTTTAATATTATTGTCAACATTCAAATACCTAAGTGTTGTGTACAAATTACCTATTCGTATCGTAAGTACTTAACCGTGCCGTTTCCGTATTATACATAAAAAAACCAAGAACTTTATAACATTTTAATCAACGTTTTTCGAATGACCACACCTAAGTTATTGTGTTTAAAGATTTTTATTTTTCTCAATAAATATATACAAATATTCATTTAAATACTTGAGAGCTGATAAATAAAACAATGATAATGAAAAGTTACAAATACATATCTAATGCATTCAAAATCTGCTTGTAATTTGCAATTACAAATTGACGTAGTTTAGGACTTTTGAATTCTTTAAATGAGCGGACATTTTACTTGTGTGGGTATTTTGTTATAAAGTTTACATCTTTGAGTTCAAATGTTAACAACAACAACTTCAACACCTTCAAATGTTAACATTTCAACAACTTCCAATTTTAACATTCTTTTGACGTAATTTGTTCTTACTCTCAGTATTATTACTTCGTTGATACTTATACTTACTTACTTATACTTCGTTAGTTATATGATATCGGCGTTTCATCTTAAAGTCAGATAGGTGTGCTGACCTAATCTAGGTTTACCTAAGTTATTAGCAGAATAAAACTTAATTAACAGTTAGTGACTTAATATCCAATGATTTATTGGATATTTCTGCAGTAATTAAAATAGTTTAAATATTCATTTCAACGTAGTTTTATTTTAGTAATAAAAAACCTAGGTTACGTAAACCAATTACTAGTTCAACTATGAATGAATAAGCAAATTATGTTGCTGGTCGAGGCTAACCTTTTTATCTTTTATCGACCTGGCTGGCCTGACTGGCAGCGTGCGGTCAAAACAATAGGTTAGTAATATACATTCTACTTACTTTAGTAGATACATACTTAATTATTTTGTGCTTAACTACTAGAAAAAGGATATTTTCTTATTATTGTATGTTTACCCATTATTTTTTTAGGAAACGTTACATAATACATGACAACAAAACATATTTCTGAAATCTCTTTTTTAATTTGAATATCGAACCGACGACTGTTGTGGTATTTCTTTTTTTTAAGGCGGGAAAGTCATCGAATGACTTCTCCTGCCTGGGGTAGGCGGGAGAGAGTGTTAGACTCTTACTGACTAAAAACCACGCCGTTCCTACTCCTGCACATCGAGCCGGAGCCCCAAGTCAAGTTCTCCGCGGCTCCGTATCGGCACCAGCCCTATTGGGCCCCATCCATGGTGGTCTGATGGCTCTTTGAGCACGCACCCTCGGGGACTGTTGTGATATAAGTCCGTGTTTTGGTATGTAAACAGTGTCTAGCCAAGCGTAGGGTACCTTTTACCTTGAGTGACGGTATCAGCGAAGTGGACGGCAGTGTTTGGATGCGAAGAGCTGGTATCAAACTCAGTGGAGCAAACTGTAGGTATGTAAAAGACCTGATATGACGAGCAGTGGGTTGAAATAGGCCAATGATGACGAGGTCAAATCAGATACAAAACAAAAGTTTTGCATGTCCGGAGTACTTACATAACATTTTATTAATCCTTTTATTTGCATAATTATTTAAGCATTACAAAATCAATAACCAATAAGTATTATATTACCATTTAGGTATCTATAAAGTTATAAACAAAACGATGTCAGGCTAATTAAGATAATAAAAATTCAGTATTGCTAATTTGTAAGTCCTCAAAAGGATATATGTACTTACTTAAGCGGTAATTTTTTTCTTCGACAGGCAATTTATTTATTGTCAAAAAGATTTTTTAATAAGATCCTTGAGAGGATTATTATTGCACAATCTGCATATTGATGTGCCTAATTAGAATTTGCCTAAATGTGCGTGTACCGTGTGACGTAACAATAATACATTCATGATCTAATGATCAAGCACTTAATTAGCGAGATACATAAATATTGTAATGGAACTGGCGTGTTGCGGCATATG